TATGATAGTGTCAATTCTAGATTGAATTTTAAAAAGATCTTTGATTTTGAAAAATTGATGAATTTTTTCTAGATTTTGGAACATGACATGTTGAGTTTTTACTCAACCTAAAGGCTTTCAAAATTGATGAGAAAATTCAAGAGAGTTGTTTGCTTGACTCTTCCACACCATTGACTAATTTAGAAGTGGAATGTCAAAGCTAGAAGTTTTGAAAAATTGGAGACCCTAGAAAAAAGATTAACATGACTTCTCGTAATTTTAAAACCTAACATATTGAGTTAGACCTAGTAATGCAAGTTCATAAAATTTACATGGAGATTTTGAGGGTTTGGCTTGACACTATTGCCCTGCTAGTTAATTTGGGGATAGAAGGTTAGAGCCTAATTTTGGATAGAGGTTTCACCTCTCTTTTGATATAAGTTTTTTTTAATGTTGGCTAAGCTTTCCTAAGGAAGAAATTAATAGAGATGCCAAAAGAAAAGAACAGTAGTTAAGACTACCGATGAAACAAAATTTCACCATTATTAGCTAGAGAGAGAAATTCAGTCCCACCAGGTGTGCCATTTTTTATTTGAGTTTAAAAGGGTTTGGAAAAAAATTGATTTTCTTTAAAGATTTTAAGTCATAAATTTAGTTTCAAAATCGAATACGCCACTATGAACAATATATCACCTAGGGAGGCAAATATATCATTCCTTAATGAGTTCAAATAATGAAACTAAAAATTTCACTTTGATTGTAATAATCAAATTCAAGGAAGAACTACATATGATCCTGAACGGTTAAAATGAGGTTTTATTTATATTTAATTATTATAACCTAGATGAAAATAATATTATTTTCATATTCAAAAAATACTACGATAAATGATATATCTCCCAGAGGGAAGAAGATGTCACTTATCGTCGATCATCTGAACATGATGATAATGATCGTCGTTGTTCTTAGTTTTTCCAACGAAGACTAATAGAGTTTTGAAAATTGATTTTTTTTTAAAAAGTCGATGTGGGTTCTAAATCTCCTACGAGCATAATCCTTCATAGCTAATTACATCATAGGAAACTGCGATCTTTTATGAATACTACCGATTAAAATATTGACAAAAAATTTATTTTGAGATTTTCTAGAAGTGATATTAAAGGTGAATTTGGAGTTTCAATAGGGATTGGATTGATTTTGAACACTTATTTCAAGAATCAATGGAGGAGGGGTAAGAGATACTTTGAGATTCTGAAATAATTCAGAAGGGCCCCAACTTAAGCTAAGTGATGGGGTTCAAGTTTTAGATTAAGAAAATCTTTAATTTGAGTTAAAAAATTTATTAAAATTTTGGGATCATATTCTCGAAGGTTAGAGTTTTTTGATTCAAAATCTGCCCTAGATCCTAAATGTAAATTGGGCACTATACCACACTAGCCTAATCATAGCTAATGCAGTGCAAAATCTGGACATACCCCATCATGGATTAGGGAGCCAGCTAACCACCTAGTCGATTAAAATTCATAAGTCTGTTTCTTTTTATGAAAGAGTGGTAGGGACATTATTGTTAAAGTCTTTTGAGAATTGAGACCAACGTCTAGAGAGGATCCTAATTGGTCCCTTGACTTATGCTAGGTGAGAATGCTTGAAGAATGTATAATTAAAATTTTGGACAATTTTAAATTTATTTCTAATGGAATATTTATTGATCGACTCAATTAATTGCATAAAATATATATGTAGCAATTTTAAAAAGGTTTAATACTTATTTTTTTCCTAGAGATTTCACAACATCTCCTTGATGGATCTGCACTCTCAAAGGCCAGGTGATCTTCTAGAACCCACAGGCGGGGATGTGCTTAACAAGGAGGAGAAATTTAATAATTCACTTATGCTGACTCCCGATAATCCTGAGCTAACATCTTAGATCATTAGAGTTTCTATATTAGCCTAAGAATTTTTATTGATTTAAGTAAAAATATTTTAGTGTGCCCTCACGAGCCTCCACGTATCCAGTTTAAAACAAAAATGACATGCAATTACCAAAAAAATTAAGAAAAATAGGAAACCCTATTCGCATTCAAGATAAATCAAACACATAAATCAATCAAAATTAATTCCTTAATGTAATATCCATAGGCAAAATGCCCCTTTATTACAACCCAATATTTGCATAAATTAAAAGTGGTCGGGCACCATTAACAACAAACACAGATTCTAATCTTAGGATCGACTCAAGTTGACTTGAGTGGGATACTCTTTGTCTTCATCTCCTTGTCATCCTCTTCTTTAATTGGGCTCCTTGGATTTATTGTATTTGGATACTCAAATGAAAAATAAAATTCTTCCCTTGAATGAGAGGTTATTCTTTTCACTTTGGGTTCTAAAATGATCCAAATTTGAGCTTTCAAATGGTAAAGGACCCTCCCTTGAGGGTTGTCCCTTCCTCTTAGAAATCTAAGTTTGAATCTATGTATCCCAACTCAAATGTCTAACTTTCACAACTCTTAACTTTAAATAAATTATATCAATATTAACATGAAAAATCTAGAATCTCTTGTAGGGTTATCCTAAGCATTTAAAAATAAAATACATCCCAAGCAGTTTATATATGTGTATTAAATTGTAAACTCAGCCACACTTGACCACTCTCTTATTTATTTGAGGGCTAAGCAGCAGAAGAACCTACAAAATTTTTTTATTAATTTAAACCATTATTAATTTAGTCTCCTTTTATTGTACTACATGAGTGTGAACACCTGCATAAAATCATGTGAGCAACCAAATCGGTCCTAACCTAAGGGTAAACTATCTTCAATAAATCAATTCATAGATTATAGTTAAATTAAGTAAATACTCACATTAATCAATTTTCAATCACATCATAAAAAAAAAATTAGAAAATTTGGCATACAACAGTAAAAAGTAAACACTCGCCTAGCCTATACTACAGGAAATTCGAGCATTTCTGGTGTTTTTATCGATGGTTAGTGTTAGATTTCCTACGATTTCATAAAATACCGACGGTTAGTAAACCGTCGATATAAACTGCATAGGAAACGCTTTACGGCGGTTATTCTTATTGCCGGCTTTCTGGCGACATAAACGACAATTTTCGATGGTCATAGCACCGGTGACCGCCAGTTAATCATTGGTGGCTTATCGGCCGTCAAAACTGCCGGTATTTACCGACAGCTTTATTAAGCTTCCTATGGCTATAATAAGTCGTACGGTATCAAAGTTTTCGGCGGCCAAACCATTGGTTAGCCGCCGGAAACCTGTAGTATTTTTAAATAAAAATTGACAACCTCCCCTCTATTTACTAAATTTTTCATAAACTTGCACATAATTGAGAAAATTTATTACAAATATGAGCAACACGCCATTATAATCAACCCACAATTATATTTCAAAATTAATACATATATAGCATTCAAATGAAATTCATAATAAGCATAACCAAATATTTAAACTAAATGTTCATCAAACAAAATAAATTCTACAATAAATATAACATATAAATCCACAATAAGATGCCCATGTAGATAAAAATAGAATGTAGATAAATTAGTTATAACAAATATGAAGAATTACAAAATACACTATAATGATTAACATACAAAATAGATTTGATAAGAGGCATTTAGCAAGAGAATGATATGTTTACTAATTTGATTTCAAAAAAATATAATTCAATAAGTATATTACAATAAATTTAGTCACTTAAATTACAAAAACTATTCAGAATCAGAAATATTTTTATTGCTCTCCAATTTATCTTCACTTTTATCCTCGTTCTCACTTGATGAGCTAGTTTAATTATTCAAGTCTTCTAACTGCATTTCAATATTATGGATTGTAGTTTACATCTCCTCAATTTCAACAGACATATAATTTGGCATCTCATCCTCTTGATGTGCAGTTACTACAACGTATTATTGATTAATTATCCCTAATTTTTTTTTTATGATAGCTAGTCAATCTTGTTTATCCCCACGACCACTGAGATATTTGCTGATCAAACTTCCCTTATCTTCTACTATGTTTTATGTCTACTAAACCATACGTAGGATGAACTCGGTTTGGACCGGCAGAAAAAATTACTTAAAAAAGGAGGCCAAGGCCACCGATAAAGGCTCCGGAAAAATATAAAACCGGCGCCCTTGCCAGGGGTTATTATACCACCGTTAATTCTGGCGGTGGTTTATTAAGAACTGCCAGTTAATACTAGCGGTTTGACCGCCGGTTTAACCGCTGATATTACCGACGGCTATAGGACCACTGATAATGCCTGAATTTCCTGTAGTGTTAGACTAGAGTTGATTGTCTTAGCAAATCATCTAAAGTGTGCACAAAAGGACTGTCTGACTGGGGTAGATCCTAAGCTGGACAATTTTTTTAATTTAAAAAAAAAATTGTACTAAAAAATTATTTTAAGAAGCAGTATGAAAATAACCCCAAATGAAGCCTAGTTACTGTAAAAATTATAAAAATTAAAATCATAACAAACATGTGATAATGTAGACTAAATAGTTTTTATAATTGCTATAAAGAAATTACTAATGGTTACAACTGTAAGGACCAGATTTGAAATGATTATAACCATTGGAATATCAATGACATTTTTAGCCACTGCAAATCATATTAGTAGGAGTCTTATATTTTCCAAATTCCAACTATTATAATGACTACAAATAGTCCAATGGTCACTTTACAATAGCCTGGTGGTTAAAACCATTACTAATGTTTATTTGCAATAGTTATAACCACCAGAAACTCCTCTAACCAAGCTGTTTTAAATCTATTACAAAAAAAAATTATTGGTAAAACGTAAAGGCAATAATTATAACTTTCTAAACTGCTATAATAATTTTTACGACGATTTTAATAGCTAAAATTTACTGTCAAAATCATAGCTAAATGCTATTTTTTTAGTGAACATAGTTGGATCCCAAAATTATCACATCATTCTCATAAATGCTTTCCTTTCAATACAACTACAATTTTCAACTCACAGATGGAATGAAGAGATATAAGCAAAATGCAATCAATAGCAACAACAATGCAACAATCCATCAATCATTCTATGTTCTTTGTGATGGTGTTCATCATTCAAATTGTCATAGCTACTTAGACCTGTTCATTTTCACTGCGCTCATTCTGCTTCTTCTTCTCATTATTATAAACATTTTCCTGCGATGGTTTAACGTCGCCCATCTCAATTGCTTCGCCTTTCGAAGCAGTAGCAGCAGATATTTCTCCTTTGTTGTTTCTGTAAATCACATACAGTATCAGCTGAACTGCACCCAGAGCACTCCCACAACCATTTGGTATCTGGCACCACAAAGTAACATATTAGCACAATTTTTCTTTAATGAAGAAAGAATTTGTAGCACTTAATGCTTACAATGATGAAAGGATCATGGCCAAGCAACCCGTAGATAAACCATGAAGTCCCGCACAAGAATACAAACAGAGATAGGAAGAATGGCATGAACTCCACACTTTTTGTCTTCACCACTAGCCTCTGCAATACACACATATCATAAGCTTTCTTTGTTCTTGCCTTCCAATGCAATTATAGGTTCTTTTCATTTATAGATATGTTAACTTAAAGGTTAACTAGCTAACAAACAAACCCATTCTCAGTCTGAATTAGGGCTGTCAAAATCGGCTCACTAGTTGGGTTCGGGTCCAACCTGAAACTGATCCAACACTATTCAACCCGACCGCTTCAGGTCCGGATCAACCGAAGCCGACCTAGTTTTACAAACAGGTCAAAATCCCTAACCCGAACCTGACCTGGTTCGGGTTCGAGTTGACCCAAACCCAAAATTTTCGGGTCAGATTCGGGTGGGGTTTTCGGGCCAGGTCAAATATTGACACCTCTAGTCTGAATAAGCATAAAAAACTAAGGCTTCATTTGGGACGGCTTTCTTACTGCTTCTTAAAACGGCTTCTAGTACAAAAATTAAAATTTTTATACTAAAAAGCCGTTTTAAGAAGGAAAAAAAGCCGTCCCAAATGAAGACTAAATCTCATTAAGTTTTGGGTGCAAGAATAAGCATTTGAGGGATTACCATGATAGACAAAGGCGAGGCATACATGCAAATAGAGAAGATAGTGGCAGCTGAACCACAGAAAAGCTTTCGTGTGTGGCCATGGAGGGAGAGCACAGAGATGAGAGCAACAGCAGCAAACAAAGAGGAAACGAGCGCCAGTAGGCCAAACATGCGAGCCTTCACCTTTTTTGGTGCATAGATCAGGAAAATGAGCACGTAGATGGCTTCAATGACCGCCCCAGTGCCATTAATTGTCCACACGAGCATGTTATTTGGTGAAACAAAGGGTAATCCATACCTTCATGTAAAAAAAACTAACATCAAATGAATAGTTTATGGAACAAAAGATGGTTATAATATGCTGAAAGAATTGTTTTCTTTGGGGCTTTATTGGGAGTTTTTATTCTGTACGGAGACTAAACGGGATCGAGAATCGTCCGGTTAACATTGGGTATCCAGCGGTACAGAGTGCGGGTACCGAGCTGGATACCCACCAATGAGGTGACGTGACGTATTTTTATTAGTCTCCGGACGCCCTCCGCACTCCGCACAGAATAATTCTTCCTTCATTGGACCTGTTCAGTTCAGAACTCATTGAGCAAATCAACTCGTTATTAAAATAATAATTGGGTCATTTGATGGATTAGTTCTTTCCAATACATAGAAAATTCTTTTATTATAGCACCTACCATTGTTGTTTGAAAGGGTAGAAATATTTTTCCATACAAATTTATTTTACCATATTTAAAAATAAAACGACAACCGACTAGCAAATCAAGACCGTTCATCTTAAACTTCATGATAATAACTATGACGATGCTAAATTTCAAGATAATTTGATCATGCATCAACCATAAATGCAACATCATGACAGAGAGTTCATATATTTCATCTCTCTATATATATTGAGAGAGAAGTTAAATCTCTCTCTCTCTATAGAGAGAGAAATTAGAGATAAGTATGAAATTAGTTATAGAAATGAAAATTATAATACCATTACCATATAGAAATTGCATTTCACATTTGGAGATGGTGAATTTTTAGTTCAAAAGGCTCATTAGCTAGATTTGAACCTCTGGCATCTAACTTTAGAACAAATAAGCATACGCTTGAGCTAGAGCTCTTTACTATGAAGAATCTCTCTCTCTCCACAAAATTAGAATTTTGATGTTATGATATTCAGAAGAAATATCAAAGTCATTCATCACTAGTCACTTGCACGATCGTCAGAGTATAAATCAAAATTTCATAATGAATGACTCCAATTTAGGAGTGTAAGTGAGTTGAGCATGCTCAAGCCCGACTCGTTAAGGAGTTTGCAAGCCGAGCTTACTTAATGACCGCAGATGGCTCGCGAGCTTGTTTTTAGTAGCACGAGCGGAGCTCAAGCTTGCCTTTTGAGCTTGACTCGAGTTCGAGTTCGAGATTTGGCTCGTGAGTCGAGCTTAAATTAGGCCTGACTCGAGCTCAACTGGACTTGTTTGCACCCCCACTCCAATTACATGATAAAACGACTCTAGAGAATATAAGAACTATCATTTGGCTTAAAATCAAATTCATGACTTTTTGATAATATTTTGCGAATTCGACAATTTTGATTGATGAAATATATGAACAAAATCATATTTCAAAAGCAAATTTTCATGCTTTGAGATCATTTTTATCAACAACACAAGTGATGAAACCATATTTATACATACAAAATTGATAATTGCAAAAATATACATTTTTATTTATTTATTTATTTAAAGATATTGAAAGGAAGTAAGGAAAAGTTACCAGGCGGAGAGGAGGCAGTTGAGCAAGGTCATATTATACGGAACGCCGGAGAAATCCTCCGTGGATTTTTTCCGGATAACTCTCAGGAACGTAATGCTGTAAATAAAAGTAAAATCGGACCAGAACAAAAATAATTGGTAAGGAAATATGTGCTATTTCAAAAAAACAAAAAAATTAAAACCATTCTAAGCGATTATGTTCCATGAAACAGAGAAATGCACTTACTTCTTAAGAAAAAAAAAATGAATTAACAAAAAAACTAAGGGAAAAAAAAATTAAAAATTATCTCTTTATTTTTTTGGTTAGATTGATTGATTTTAAATTTATTTAAAATAAATATAAAATAACGATTTAATTATTTTTAGATATTTAAAATAAAAAAATTTAATGAATTTTAAAACTCTTAAATTCATTTTAAAATAAATACAATATATAAATAATCCATAAACTTTATATTAAATTCTTCTCAAAGACAAATTAAATGATTTTGGTTTCATTTGGGATAGTTTTTTTATTACTTTCTAAAAATTAATTTTTTAGAATAAAAATTAAAATTCATAAACCTCTTAAATTCCATTTTTCAAATTTTTTAAAATCAAATTTAAGAGATCTTAAGTTGTCATTTTGGGATAATTTTTTATTACTTTCTAAAATATTTTTAGAATAAAAATTTTTAATTTAATAAAATTTTGTACTAAAAAATTCTTAAATAATAAAAATGTTTTAAAAATATCAAAAACTGTATTGAAGCGAAACCATTAGATTAGAGCTAATCTCACCAATTTTTTCTCTCAAAACTAAAAAAACTTTAAATTTAATTAAAAAAAAAAAGAAAAGAAAGATGCAACGCATAAAAAAGAATCGAAAAAAAAAAACAGAAATGCAAAGTCTTTTTCTTATGATTTGCAGAGCAGAGAAGGGCTTGCAGATACTCACATGGGAGACAAGAACAGAAGAGAGCAGTGGCATTTCCTACAAATGAAATGAACATCAGAACAAAAAGAAAAAAAAAATCCAATAACCAAAAGGAAAAAGAAATTAGAGAAGAAGAACCACCGAAAATCCCAAGATAAAATGCGCAATTTCCATCAGATTATTCCACCTTAATTACTTCGTCAAAAACTATAATCTCTCTCTCACAGAGTTTCAGACAAACGACAGAGCATTCTGTTTTGGCCTTAATGAAAAGCTATCTATATATAGAGATAGAGGAGAAGAGATGGAGAAGAAGAAGAAGAGAGAGAGAGAGAGGTATTGATTGCGTTCACATCCGCTATAATTTCCCTGGTTGAGATGGTTAAAGCTTTTAAAACTATTGAATTAATAACGACAAAATTCTGCCACAAACGATTCCCTCGTGTGTTTCCTTTGTTAAGCTTTCACAGCTTAGCTCTGCGGAAAAAAAAGCTAAGTAGTTAAAAAGTTTTCTTATATTAGAAATTATTTAGCAATTGTTATTAATGAGTTTAGCTTCGAAATTATTTTGTTGGAGATCGGATGCCAGGCATGATCGGGAAATCAATTAGGATACTTTCCACACGTTAAGTCCACGATATCGAGCCGCAGTATATTGAACAGCCTATCAATACCGACCAAGCCAACGAACAACTATCTCACGAGTCATGGTTATCTCGACAAGGGGTGACTGAAGGAGCATTTAGTATGGTCGTAGCTGAACAGAGCGAATGCGCGAGGGAAAGGGCAAAAGCCGGTCAAAGGAACCAAACGCGGGAAACCCGGGCCAAAATGTCCAAACGCAATGAGCCTACCAAGACCGCAGACAGAAAATACCCTCGAGCCATGCCGCGCACAAGATTATAATAAGCCTCAGTTGTGAAGAATGGCCTACTTACCTTCTGTTTCTGCATTAAGAAATCAGAGACTTCACGATAGCATAGGCTCAAAATTTTAATTTTGGTCATGAGTACGCAAACGTGTTTTAGAAGAGAGTTAGTAAACAAGCACAAGCCGTTAGGCTTACGGTTTGGAAACGAAACGTGATTACCTTTAATTACATAGTTCGTCTGGACAGATCACCACTTCCAGTTGCAAGACTCTAAAATTACGTACAAGTTTCTATAAATCCGTCACAACACTGTAATAAGTAAGATGTTGTGGTTTAAGAAAAGCGTACGCTGAGTAATTAAAGCCGTTCCCAAAGAAGCGGTTAGACTTTTGAGGGCAGTTTTTTACTAGTTTTTAAATAATTTTTATGCAAAAATTTTAAATATAAATTTATTTTAAAAACATAATAAGGAAACGCAAAGCTATCTCAAACAAAACTTTAGTGATGATGTATAGCGCTATTGGTCGTAGTTAAGCGACAAACCCGCCTCTCAATTCTGCGTTCTCCAAAAATGTACCCCCAGAACAGCGAAAACTGACTAGCTTATGGTTTTATTGTTTTCTAAATAATTTTTTAGCTACAAGAAAAAAGATAAAAAAACTTGCTTCGAAAAAGGTAATAAAAAGTTCGTTCCAAGACAAA